CCAAAACACGACGTGAGCTGCGTAGATTTCTGGGCATGGTTGGCTATTACCGGAACTTTTGTAGAAACTTCTCCTCAGTAGTTCAACCACTAACCAATCTACTTAGCCCAAAAACTGACTTTGTTTGGTCAGATGAATGCCAAACTGCTTTTGAAAGTGCTAAGTTTCTCCTTTGCCACACACCAGTATTAGCTGCACCTGATCTGACCCGACCTTTCAAGTTAGAGGTGGATGCTAGTGCTGTTGGGGCTGGAGCAGTGCTAATTCAGAAAGATTTGCAGGGTTTAGATCATCCTATTTGTTATTTCTCCCGCAAATTTAACAAACATCAACTGAACTATTCCACCATTGAAAAAGAAACCTTGGCTCTGTTGTTGGCTCTTCAGCATTTCCATGTTTACCTTGGTTCCAGTAGTTTGCCGATCGATGTGTTCACTGACCATAATCCGCTAGTATTTCTTTCACGTATGTACAACCACAATCAGCGCCTTATGCGGTGGGCATTCCTTTTACAAGAATTCAACCTGAACATTCAACATAAGAAAGGAACAGACAATGTTCTCGCAGATGGCCTGTCCAGAATGTAAGTATGGATTTGTTCTTTGTAGTTACAAAACTTGATTTTGTAATTTAAGGGGGGGGAGTGTTACAGCCCCTGGCCTCTTGGATCTGTACAGGGTTTTGTTATGCAGGTTCAGCTGTGATGGCTCATCTCCTGATTGGCTACCTGGAAGCTGCAGGAACTACACCCATTGGACCAGAAGGGAACTGCAAGCCACCAGATGTTAATGAGACTCACCTGGTTCTATAAAAGGCTCCTGGAATCATTTCCTCAGGGGGGACAGCTTGTAGGAGGAGGTTTTGCTCCGCTGTTCCCCACCTTTGATTGTAGTTGTCTTTGACAATTTTGTGAATATTTTGGTTGTTTGTTCTGCTAGAGCAGGTTGACTTTGATTTGGGTGACAACACAAGCCAGACACTTGTACTTAGGAGGCTTGCTGCTCCTTTCGTATGTTTGTTCTTTTTTTCATTTTCCTTTTGGTTTATTTGAATTGCTATGGACTGACTTGTTTGGGCACTTTGATTTACTTTGCACTTACTCTTTTTTTATGCTGTCAGCCCTTTCTTTTGTTTTAATTGGATTAAGTGGTATTGTGTCTTGGTTTTGTGAGAACTTTGTTTCTTTTTGTAATAAATCACCTTTTTATTTATCCCTCCTATTCTCTGGACATTTTTTATGTTACCGCCCTGAACCCCTAGACCAATGGGGGCGTAACAAATACACTTAAAAAATGATGAAGTAACCCAGGTGCATATGTGTGAATAACCTTAAGCAAAAACAAAAACAAAAATCTGTGGCTTAAATACATTTGGATTCAATTTTAAAAATGTGCATTCTTGAAACAACCTGGATCATCCTGAAATAGATTACATTAGCTAGTCAGGTTTTTCTGATATTCATTTACCTTGAGCCATGGCCAAGATTTCCAGAAAAGTTTTCAAAATGTTGTACACATGTACAAATGTACTCTTCTGTACTGGAGAAGAATCCAGTAAAAAAAAAAAAAAAGGAAAACTGATGAAGATGAAAGCAAAAATCTATTCGTGGGACACATTTCCTTAACGTTTGACACTGAAAACAACAGATATTACCAAAGAAGCACCAAAATCACGGTGAAACATGGTGGTGGGAGTATTATACTCTGGGGTTATTTTTTATGAGACAGGTTGTTTTTGTGGAATAACTTATGAACAGTTCTAAATATCTGAACAGCCTGTTTTGACTGACAACCTTCCAGAAAGCTGCAAATGAAGCAAGGTTTTTACTTTTCGGCATCACAGCCCGAGAATGCATCTAAATCAAATAAATGACTTTGGAACAGAAAAATTACCACACAATTTGACAAAACTGAATCACGTCTAATATTTTCCCTGCAGCCACCAGCAAATAATAATCCTGTTTTACATTAAATCTGTCAGCAGCAGTGCATATTAATCCCATTCATCAATTTTTATTAAAAAAGTAAATGAACATTTTTATCTCTCATTTTTTCTAGTTCAGTAAGCTCTGTTTAGATTATCTGCCTCTATGTTACCACTCTTTTTTTGTTCTTGGGTTGGTATGGAAAATATTGTGGCTGTTAAACATCAACATCGGATGGCTTTGATTATGCGAGAGTAAAAATAAAGTGTAAAATTCAAGCATCTGCATTACATAAACCTCAGATCTAAAACAGATGCACACTCAGCTGTTAAAACTGGGTTCTTATGAGCAAAGCATATTTTAAAATTAATGCAGGACTTTCACCTCAAAAGATTTGACGTACTATGATAGATTACGGTCTGTGTGTGAGGGGGTGTGGTGGCAATTAAATACAGGTGTTATAGGTTATTTAATCGAGGGGATTATGACAGTCAAATTTTTAATATCAATTAAGAACACTTGCAGACTGTCAAATGGGGCAAGTGAGTAATAATCACCATAAAGGTTGAAGAGAGGTGCTTTTCTGGTCAGGAAAGAGATGCACCCTCATTATTACTGAGCTGATGGGTATCGAGAATTTGCAGACGGATTTTAAAACTACTAGCTAATGTCTGTGACTTTTTTACGTTGACAAATAAATTTTAAAAAAAAAGATTTTTTTTTTAAATTAAAAGATAGGTTTAATGTGTTACTGGTACCATTATATCTGGGAAATAATGGTGTTGTAATCTGCTAAAGGTGAAAATAAGTGTAGAGAAGTAATTTCTTTGCAAAGACCTTGTATTCTTGCACAGTCCTGCTTGAGATTCACACAGAAGTTTCTTGCTGTGCTCATTGAGCTCTTCTCTGTCAGAGGCAGTCACACGCAACTCTTACTTCCTCACAAATCCAATACCTATCTGGCTAATGTCACTTTGCAAAAGTGGAGCACAGTTCTCCCCATCTTTTATGATTAATAAGCTACATTCAGATGCAGAATCTCACAAAAAGGAAAACACTGAATGTGGCAACTGAATGTAATGTAAAATATCCAGTCTACGGCTTTTTATGACAGTGTAAATGTATTGCTTTCTGAAAATAACACAATGCACAGGCATTAATGTCTAAACTGCAGGCAAGAAAAATAACTTCCCCTCCTAAGTGAAAATTTGTGAATAGTGTCCAATTAGCCATTCTCCCTCCCCAGTGCTGTGTGATCTGTCAGTGTTACAAGGTCTCAGGTGTGAATAGGGATCAGGTGTGCTAAATTTAGTGTTATTGCTCTCACACTCTCTCATACTGGTCACTGGAAGTTCAACATGGCACCTCATGGCAAAGAACTCTCTGAGGATCTGAAAAAACAAAACTATGGTTTCTTTTTGCCTTACAAAACGATGGCCAGGCTTTGAGGAGGTTGCCATCACGCTGAACCTAAGCTAGACCATCCAGTGGTTTAACAGAAGAGGTTCCAGTCAGAACAGGTTTCGTCGTGGTCGATCAAAGAAGTTGAGCACCCATGATCAGCATCACATTGAGAGGTTGTCTTTTGAAAATAGATGCAATTGCACTGGATGCCTGTTGAAAGCGTCTAAAGAAGAAGATGCTCAAAAAAGCATGCAAACAGTTTGTAGAATACAATCAGACAAAAAAGCAGATTCTTGAAACCGTGTTCTGCAGTCTGACAAAACTAAGATAAACCTTTCTGGTTCAGATGTTGTCAAACATGAGTGGTGGCAATGTGTTGAGAAACACAAAGACCAGTGTGTCCTGCCTGAAGTCAAGCACAATAGTGGGAGTGTCATGGTGATGCCAACCATGGGGAGCAAAAGTTAATTGAGTTGAACACAAAGTAAGTACTGCCAGAAAATATGTCTGTGCTCGGCGGCTGATATGCCAAAAGGTAGCATTTGATAAATACCTTACCAAGGTTTTGTTTCTGAATAACTACATCACAAGGAGTCTTTTTGCTCTTGCCTTTTCTTGTTATTATGAGGAGAGAAGAAGCTTCACCATTCTTCACAGACTGTCATTTGGAAATATGTGACCTGAAGAGACCTGAATTCTTCTGAATAAGAGATGTTAACAGGGTGAATTTTGGTGTTTCTTGATTTGGGTTGACGGCCATAGCTCACACTAGAGAAACAGTTTGCTCGCAAACACTAACTTTTACCAGTTATTCAGTTATTTTAATTAATTTTTGTGCGTAATTTTAAGCAGAAATTCTTCATATTCACATATTGCTTCTTTACTAATCCAGATTATGGGTTATTACTTTTAACCACCACCTGTTGGCTTCATATTCCATCATTCTGTGGACTGGCCTCACATTTTAATGGTTTAGGAAGTTATATAACATACTCTATCAGATTAACAGTGCTCCTGCATCATTTTCCTGCACATTTGATTCTGCAGCATGTCATTTGACTTCACTTACTTTACTGGTTGAAAACGCAACTCAGAATGCTGGTTCAAACCCAATTCCCAACCTTGTAGTGTCAGACCAAGCCAGTGTTGAGTTAGTCCGTATTTATGTATTTTTTTAAGTCTGCAGTTATTATTTTATGTTTGGAGTTAGTCCTGTAAGTGAACATTTTAGACCCTTGTACCAAAGTAGACTTAAGCGAAGTATCCTCAACTGCTCTTGTTAGAAATCAAGAAGTGGTTTTATTGTTTCACTTGAAAAACATTTCTAGGAATCAAACCCACATGTGATGTTATCTACAATATGCACACCAATCATATTTATTCAGTTATTTTTAGAGGCTAATTCAGTTGTGTTTTGTTGTGGTCTTAAAGAATGTTTTGCAATGGATAGAGTAGTAGAAAATAGTCACTGGTTCTGCCTTGCTGCATTAAATACTTTGTGAGAAAGTTTGCTACAATTGCTTTTGAATGCAAGTAATCTGCAAGTCTTGTGACTCACAACAAAAGACAACATTTAAAACAAGATTTAAATTTAGGCCAAAATTAAGCTTAAATTAATATTTGTACTTGTTTTACATTAATACCAAAGTAATAAATAAAAATTTTACCTTACCTTTTGCTGAAATTAGTGCTTAATATCCTTCTTCTTTTCTGCTTTGAGGCAGAAGACAAGAAACATAGAAGCAGTGCAGTAGATGAAAAATCCCGCAAGTTAATCAGTTAGTCCATCTGATTCTCTAAACTCCAAAAGCCAGCACTTTGCATGCTCCATGCGCTGCCATGAATGCTCCACAAAAGCAAGAATGTCCAGACCGAGCCTGAGAGCCACCAGCAGCACACTGGCCCATCCCCCTGAAAGCTCCCCATCGTGCACATATCTCTCATTGCACAATAAATCGATCCAGCTCATGTGTGTTGTATGCGTGAATGAGGATTGCTTTTTTATTATTATTTGTTTCAGCCTTTGTGGAGATGCAAGTATCAACAGTAAGATCTAACCCATTTTGTTTGAGAAGCAAAACCTTTAATGGCATTTACATTAAAATGCCACTTAGAGCCCTGGATTATCTTTTGTGCATATTGATTATTTTTCACCAAACACAAAATATGATTGGGATGTCTATATTCATGCATCAGAGAGGACATTTGGACCGGAGGTGTGAAAGTGCCATAAGCCAGTTGTAACAGCCTCCCAGAGAGTGAGCTGAGGCTCATAAAAAGAAGTCCCGTGGTTTACAGGGGCAAAAGATCTAGCCAAGTATGAAAGTATCATACTTGTTCACTGCTTAGCCATGTGTGAGGAGATTTCTGAGAAAAGTGTTCAGATGAAAGCCTCCCAATGTTTATCATCTCATGCACAACTGAGCAGGCAGCTTTAGCACCTCCGTGTGCCCTTAATATTTCCATTTTCCAGGAAGATTTTGTGTAGATACCTTCCAGCATGAAGAGGATAATCCTTTACACTTGTGGGTCACTGCACTTCCAAGAGAAACAGGTCCATCAATATGCACTGGTTTCTAACCAGTAGACTTGATAAACATAAATCCTTAGAGGAAAAGGAAACTACTTTTTCCTTTAGTTTCTGGGAACATTTTTGCCCCATTATTGATTATTTTCTTGCATTGGTGTAATCATTTTCCAGACAAATAACTGGTTGAGTAAAAGGTTATAGTTGTGATAACCAGCTGACTTACTATGAGCATCGTTTCTACAAAGTTTTACTGTTTTCTGCAACTGGCTCAGACAAAGACAGCTTTCTTTAGTTTCTGTGTGTCATGTTGCAATCTGAAGTGACATAAAATGATTCATGCTGTGTTTAGTAGGGCGGGTTGAACACTCATTCCACTGCAATTCCAGTGAAGCAGCTCAGTATAACAACAACAACAAATCTCATTCAAGTTTTTTAAAGTTTTTATAATTCTTCAGGTGCTTTTAGAAAACTGAAAAAACAAATGAAAACCCTCCTCAAATTGGTCAATTTAGCAGCTAATATGAAACAATTTCTATCATTCATGCACACATTTATTAGGTCAGATACCTGGTACTTTATGTCATTGAGATTGTTGTATCAATAATTTTTTATTTTAATCACAAATAGGCACAATTTACATGCCAATGAGATAATGGGACTGATTTCAGAGCGTCTCTGTGGGTATTCCAGCTTCTTCCCACTGTCTGTACAGTTGTGTTTCTGTCTTCTGTGATTTTGAAAACCTTCAACGAAGAGCAGTTATCTTTTTTAAGCAATTATTAAGAGTTTGGTGTCATTCTGGTTGGGCATTTGAAACTTATTCTTGGCAGAATTGACAGAGTTTCTTACTTGGGAAATGATTTTTAACATAGTTCACATAATTTTAGAAGAACTTATGTTGGGGGTTATTCCAAAAACTTGTAATCCTCCTTCACCACTTTCAAAATCAGTCAGGATGCTTGTTTGCTCTGCTGGAAAACTCAACTGTCCCAGTTTTCACTTGTGATTTGAGGAAAAGTGCAAATTAATTTTCTACTTGGGCGTTCCTTTTAATATCTAGCAGAAACACCAGCAGGGTAACATTATCCCATCAAGATGTCACTACCTCAGTACAGTTTTGCTTGAAAGCATCACAATAATACATCCAAGCTGTGGTGGTTTTTGATGTGAGCCGTATGGGAAGTTGCTCAGGGCGACATTAAAATGAAGAGATAAAATCAGTATAGCTTCTCTGAGGGTACTCCAGCTTCTCCCACTAAATGAGAGTAATACAACGAATGTATTTTGTCCCTTTAAGTCGTTTGTAGCTTCCGACCTTTGTATAAAGAAAAAGAGAAATTCTTCATGTCCTCTATAAGTATTTTTATTTACACTAAATGATTGGAGGAAGGTCCTGTTAGTTTATTTTTCCTCGGGCGATCCACAACAATCAGCTGTCCAATTACTGTCTTAAGTGGTCAGTCACCTCTGTCACTTCTCACTGAAGTGTTGAGAAGGACAAATGCATCCACCAAGAAACAGGTTTTGAAATAGCTTCCGCTCTAAAATGAGTCTGCCTGAGGTTTAAGTGGCAAACAACCTGAAAGAGCTTCTCTTGCACAGTGAAGGTATTATTCCTTAAATACAACCAGGCACGAGATTTGTCTGAAGGTGTTTCACCTCCTCTAAGCTGAATCAAATTGGTTTAATAGTTTGTTTGTTTTTTATTCTGAAGATATATCTCTAAAATTAGAAATGTGAACTATTTTTCTTCAGTAATCTAGCAAATGTTTCTAGGCTGATATGTGGCACATTCAGACGTTACCAGTCAGGAGTGAAACTTTTCCACCCTCTTAGTTTCTACATCACTCGTGCTAAAAGCGGCTTTCTTGAAGGACTAAAAGACCTTTTGTTTTATATTTAGGTCAGGACAAAGAAGGCCTAAGGACGTCTATATTGTCAAGCAAAGTTTTTTTTTTTTTGTACTATAAGGTCCCGTGTCCTTTAAGAATTACTTTTGTCTGGAAGGAGTGGGTCAGTGCCTTCAGCGTTGTCACTCAGGTTGGCCCAAGGCTATCTGGACCTGTTGAAGCCGTATTAATAATATTTGTTTAATATTTGTTGAGCAAGACTTGTGACTAAAGTGAGATCAAACACAAAGAAAACATTGAACTTGTAGCATCAGACTGTGACCTTTTTGGCACGAAAATCAGACCTTGAAAATTACTCACTTTTACAAAGTAAACTTAAAATAAAACCGCAAATATTTCTTTTAAAATTGTAAATATCTCTATGCTGACACAGTGCCTTCAGCTTAGATCACTTATGCCTTGGTTTTGGCTCTGTCATTGGTGTATATTTCCACTTTTTGCTAGGTGATGTTTTACCATAAAAGAAAATGATATAAATATTGTCATCATGGAAGCTCTTTATGGTACTGACAATCCCTGATTGCAGATGGGAAACAAATCTATTAGCACAGCAGTGAAGGTCTTATAAAATCAATTCATCTTTTTTTTTTTTTTTTTGAGTGCAATAATAGGCGTTTGGAGTTCGTACAGTTATTAGTATGTCTAATAATTCCTTTATAATATATTTAACTGATTTTTTAAAACTGTGTTGTGATACATTTTTTTCTAAAAACAAAAGACTAAATTTACCAAGCACCTACTATATGTAGGTAGCTCGAAATGTAATATTCCTGTGGAGGTGAAAATAAATAATTATTGATCTTATTCCAAATTTCTCTTTGTGGTTTCGATTAACAGACAGAAATGAGTAAAAACCTCCATGAATTTCCTTAAAATGTCAAACCTCTTTCTAATGATTTACAGAGGAAAAAATGCCATAAATAAAAAGGCATTATTTTATTTATGTTAATTTCAGTGTCCCTTAAATTTATCATTAGTTCACCATCAGCGATGCAGATGAAGCCAGGTTTAAAGGTCAACGCTGAATCTGGAGCCACCATTTGGTGAAAATTATTATCTAATGGCAGAGTGAATCAACCACCCATTATTTCTGAGAGCTTCATCAGACTTGTTTGAATAGATTACTACAGATTTAGCCAGAGCTAATAGCCCAGCAACTAGATGGGACAGGAGATTATTAATAGACCAACTTTAGTGACACAGTGAACTCAATCAGATACCATGAAATAGCTGCACAGGAACAGTCATGAATTATAGCTCCTGCTTCTATCATTCAAGGGCAAAGTCATAGTCAGATTTTGGAAAATGTTATGGGTAAATATTTTTTTTTACATTGGTTGAAGTGTATTTAGATTATCATTATTTTGAACAAGTGGAAAAACTGGCTTTTGCATTGTCACATTTGTCTAATATTAAAGTTGTGTGATGACTTGAAGAAATCTGTTAAAAGGCAAATATTTTTATTCTGGTATGTGTTGAGGATTTATACTATTAATAGGATATGTGACTGAAGACAGTGGGGTGTTGATGGCCTGTCTCGCTTTGCTCCAGTAATGAGTCAAGACACCAAACATGACACTTTCTGCACCTCACACATCAATGTGCAAGAAGGACTTAAATACAAATAAGAAGAAATTTATCTGCTTCATCTTCTCACCTGCAGGATTTCTTAGACCTTTTCACACCAATGAGATCAAGAAGGAAAGTAAAAATGGCCAGAAGAAACTGAGACATTACTGGAACTGGAACATTACAACACTAATGAGAAGTGGACTGACTTTAAACCTGACTGGAATGGAAATTGATTTGCTGTTAAAGACATTCTCTTAAAAATATTAATGTACAAATGGTTTGAGGGTATCTTGTGTTGATACCAGTCCAGCTTGAATGAGCAGTCTCATAAACTTTTTCTCTACAATTATTTTTGCAGGACATAGTGCAAAAAATATAAATATGCCTCAAATAAATATATGGAGTTTGTGTTATCTCAGCAAATATAAATAATAGTTTGACAATTTTGGACTGAAATTTTTCTTTTTTGTTGTGGAAAGCAAAATCAACCATATAATTCATTCTCCATTACGTCAAATATTTACTGAAATAGTCTAAACCATAGACCTAGAGTGTACTTGATCAGCTCTACAAAATCTTTACATTTTGTTTTGTGTAAGGTAAAACAAGCTTACCTTTGCTAATAACATGTAACCACCAGAGGGAGACATTTTATTTTATTTCTGTTTCCTTTGTCTGGTGTAGTTATTTGGTGCCTATTGTACATTTTTGACATTTGTTTTTATTTACCTTTTTAAAATTGTACACAAAATGTTGATGATAAATTCGGAAAGTAATTACTTCCAAAGTAAATTATTTCAAACGAATGAATAAATGAAAATAAATGG